TGCGAAAGTTGAGAGTTTTAAACACAAATGCTTCTTAAAACCCAAAACAATATCTCCATCTGACAAACTTGAATTGGGAGTAAAAGTAGATTTCAATCTAAATGAAGAAAAATAGATAAAAATACTTATTATGTATTTATAATTATTATTGATTTACAAGCAATATTTGATGAATGCGCATTTTAGTAAGTTTTTAAAACTTACAAAATGAAAGTCAATGCTGACAAATGCTACATTTGTAAAAAAAAAAAACAAAAAAAAAAAACTTGCAATACACCAAAATTAAGAATTTATTGATTTAAATTGCATCAAAATGTAGCAAATTGTCAGTTACTGTGGTGACACAGAATGGTTGTGACGTAAGGAAGTGTATTGCATTCACCAAAGAAAAAATATGTGACAGCTTATCTCATAATAACGAGATCAGTATCTCATAATTACGAGATCTTTTCTCATAAATACGAGATATTATCTCATAATTACGAGATCTTTTCTCATAATTACAAGATCTTTTTCTCGTAATTATGAGATCTTGTCTCATAATTAACGAGATAAGATGTCATAATTATGAGATAATATGTCATATTTAGGAGATCTGGAAGGACAGTCATTGCTGATCTCCGCTACATGAAAGGTGAACAATGAGTAGGTTTTAAGATTTAATCTGCTTTTATTTCCTTTTAGGTATGCAACACTGGGAAATACCGAGTTTTTCCTTAATGTGGACTGAATTAATTTTAATTAGTCAGCATTGTAAAGTAAGTCCTTAGAATTTTTTTAAGCGAAGAAGCCCACTCTGACTTCAAACTTTTCTATATCTCGTAATTATGATAAAAGAACTTGTAATTACGAGATAATATCTCGTAATTATGAGAAAAGATCTCGTTATTATGAGATACTTATCTTGTAATTATGAGATAAGCTGTCAGATTTTTCTTTCTTTGGTAAATGCAATACGTTTCTGTAGTGACGTACATCCAAAGAAAAAAAGAAAAAACACTAAAATAACAAGTTTTTTAAAATGGCATGCCCCAGGCACCGAATCGAGAAGGATGACCACACAGACAGCCGGAAAGGCATACCAAGGACCTATCACAGCTGCTTTTTGTCTGCACATTTCCACTTGAGGTCTGCGCAGATTTGCGATTATCCGACATGTAGTCAGAATTTTTTTGAGGTGCCCAACGACGGTTGCAGAACATCTCCGCGGGGGTTGTGGTCGCGCACAGACACAGATTTGACGGTTGCAGAGGCTATGCATCAGAAGCATAAATTGGCCTTTAAAAAGAACATATACCTCAACTTTATAATTTAATGTGCCTTTTTTTAGCTTCTGGTGGCCGAATAAATTTAACATGACAAACCAAATTCAGCTCAAGAGCCCAAGTTTCACAGGTGTGCTCTAAAAGTTCATCTGCACATGAACTTGAAAATAACTGGTCAACTAAGGATTACAGAGAGCAAACAGAGATAGGAAGAAAAAATGTATAAAGAAGTAGAGCTTAATTTAAGTACACAACAGATAAAGAGGGCAGGGTGTTAGGAAGTGGATGGCTTACCTTGTGGCCAACAGTAGCTCCGGCTCTGACCAGGTACTTCACTGTGTCCAGATGGTTGTTTTCACATGCCACCATCAGTGGCGTTCTTTGCTCCTCATCAAACACCTCCAGGTTGGCCCCAGCCTTTGTGCATACATGGGCGCACAATCCCATTAACACTATCTCACATGCAAGGCAAAATTTCAGGATTATAAGCCCTCAACAATATGGACTGAAGAAATTTTAGTTAACAGATTTTCAGTGTAGGACTTCTTATGTTTAGCTTAGAGACAGGTGACACAATAATCTGTGAAGAATTTGAACCATGCTGCGTGGTTTAAAGCTTGTGCCCAAAGCTTGAACATACCAAAATTACTTTGCCAATTAATAGTAATTCAGTTTAGTTTACTTATATTGTGACAATACACAAGATGTCATCTTAAATCCTACATGCTTGCAAGTGGTTCCATTTTATAGAACAGGCCTTGTAGTATTTTTTGGTGATAAATATTTCAACACTGTGTCTTTTTGCAGAACGTAATCCACAACAGTTCAAACGTGTAAAAAAAATAATAAAATTGTGCTCTTGCAGAACAAAATACCCCTTTCTGGATTCCATTTGTTAGGCATTCAGTACAATTCTTCAAGCTGATTGGCTACCTGTCTCCCATGTCAAGTTTTTAGCAGTAGCAGCTGAGACATGTCACATTTTTTTTTATTAGTGATCCAGAGTTAACTATTAAATCAAACTCTTACCAAATCTGGTTTGGAGGAAAGCACAAACATCTTCGCAGCCAGAAAGGCAAAAATTGTGTTCTATCTTAATCTAGTTTTTTGCTGCAGCCATTTGCTCTGGTTGGCGTGGTGATGTCAATTTATGTCACTGCATGTCATGAGTCCGAAACATTTCTGTATTAGAGCTAATGCATCTATCGGCTTCTGGCAAGATATAAATTCTCCATTACATTACTGGGTGGGTTTCCTTGCAGGAGGCTCTGTGATGGAGAATGTTTCACACAACTTCATGCCCAAAACCTGAGATATCCCCTTAAGTTGCGTTTATTGTGGCCATCTGGCTTGGTGATCTGTACTGCTGGCAGATGTTATATCTGCCAGATGTTATATAGATGTGATTGCACTCAGTGCTGGTATTCTATTTATTCTCAAAATGGACAAACTAAACACATTTAGGACTGACGTTTGGTGTTCATAACTTTATCATAATCAAATGTTTTTTTTGGTCTTTTTTTCCAAAGGCATGCCAATGTTTCCCATAGATAGAACTGCGTGATGGTGAGCAGGCCAGCTGACAGCCTGGGCGCAGCTTATCGAAGCCAATTCTGCTTTACCTGGACCAGCATGTGGCAGACCTCCTGATGACCTTCAGCAGCAGCTGCATGAAGTGCGGTGCGTTTTTTGTGTCCCTCCATTAAAAGGTTGGGGTCCTTTCCATCAACTGCAGAAAGCAATTTTCCGGATTAAAATTATGTTTTTAATTATCTATTATATCAGGGTGGTTTAAAGCAGGGAGTAAACATTTCACAAAGTAACACTTAAAATTTGTCCCTGTTGTTATCCTTTAGAATGAGTGTGCAAAAAACTAAATGTCTACCTGTTTATGAATTATCGAGCATCTCCCAAACCAGGGCAAAAAACAATGTTAATTTTAAGTTCTAATGATGTTATAACAATGTTGTACAGAGAAAATATGTACAAATTTGAGATGAAAAGAAAGAGTTACCAAGAAGCTGAATGACCATCTGCAAATCTCCTTGCTTTGCAGAAACATACAGCTGCCTGTTGGGGCCCTTCATTTTCTTCAGTTTTGTGCTAAAATAAAAGTAAAACATAACAGACAATCATTCATAAACTAAATGCAACTTGCTGGGTCTTGTTTTAAGCATTTGTTTGCAACTTACTTCTCATCATCAAGTGACAAGAGGACGGTCTCCAGTGACACTTTAGGATGCACAGCATCTCTTTTTAATCTTGTTAAAACAAAAGAAAAAAATATATTATTTTTGATCTGTGTGGTAACTGATTGGAAAAGCCATTTTATCTATTTATTTTTTGTCTTTAACAGTGTCCTGTCTGGCAATGTTGCAATAAGAATAATTGTCTGCCAAAAAGAGAGCCCACAGATTTTGCTTTCACAAGTGGAGCAGTACGGCTATGGTCATAGTGTTCCGCTTGATTTATGCATATAAATATCTTTATTATAATTCATCCAGGGAGTATTACAGATTATATGGACACTGCAATGTAAGTAGAACAGGAAAGGAAAAATGGAGAAAAGATGAATAAAGAGGAGATAAAATTAGAGATAATGATAAAATGTCTTCAGTCTGCTTCATCAACTGCAGAGAGAGACGTAAAAAAAAGAACAGCACAATTGTGGATATATTATAACAGATACAGTAGAGTAGCACCTTGATAGTATTGCTGAAGTATAAGTAGTATTATTTAATCTGACATGTATACTGTGGTAGATGAAGATAAGAATATGGGCTTTCTGTATGGAAGTTAAGTACCTGGAACCAAGCACCTTTAATTGTTTGTGAGGGTGCACATGTGCATGTTAAGTTTATCCAAAGGAAAATGCACAACGGTGGTTGTGAAGAGCAAAAGACACTCCCCCCCAGAGCACCGAGGCGAGCAAAGGAATCCCCAGAGTAAAGGCATCCAGGAGGGGCCAACCCCAGAAACCCGCCCCCCCCCACCAAGAGAGGAGGATAGACGGCCCCGAGGAAATCCTCCAGCCGCCGCAAGGCCGAAGCCCCACAGGAGCTGTGGGGATGAGCCCACGCCACAGCCAGCCACCTCTTTGAACCGGCAATGGGCCCTGGGGAGCCGAGGCCCCAGGGACAACCCGCCCCCCAACCGGAACCTCCATCCTCCCCCACCGGGCCACTTCCTCTCCATCAATGCCCTAGCCACCCCTCCCCTCACCCCTTTTAGGGATAGCAGAAATGTCAGCCCGGTGTCTGCCTACCAGCAGGCCACCCAGACACCCTGAGAGGGGGGGGGGGCCCACCAGTCACATCATTGTGATAGAAAAGCCATTTTGAAGACTGAACCGGTGAACATAAAAGGAAAGACTTACCTTGTCTGGCTAGCATCCCTACTTTTTTGTGGTTGGCTGCTCTTCCTCGCCTTCAGTATATGAGGAACTACAGGTGTAGAAGTGGCTAAAGGCAGAGTGGTTACAACAGGAGGTAAAGCTTCATGGTTTGATTTGGGTACTAAGGTTGACGGATCAGGCTTTGGAAACATGACCTCCATTGCTCCACTGGCATCCCCTCCGCAGTGGGGGCAAAATCTGCAGTCATTCAGTATGGAGGCACAGTCACGATGAAAGCGGTGGGAAATACTGCCATATGGCTTACACTCCATGAAGGAACCCTGGGAAATCAGTAATAGACAATAGAAGAAGGAAAAGCATTAATTTGGCAGGACAAGTTTATTTATGTAGCACAATTCAGTACAAAGACAAGTCAAATATTACTTCATAGAGGGACTATTGTATTTTTTACTATCAGGAAGTCCACAAACTGTAGTTAAAAGTCTTCAGCTGATCCAAAATGCTGCAGCCAGAGTTCTGATGAAAATTAAAAAGAGAGATCATATCTCTCCTTCCTATCCTAGCTTCTCTTCATGGGTTTCCTTAAATTCAGAATAGAAATTAAAATCCTCATTCTCACTTATAAAGCCTTATATCAGAGTTTTGAATGTTCCTTATATTCCTAATAGAGCACTACGCTCTCAATCTGCAGGTTTAATAATGGTTCCTACAATTTCTAAAAGTTGCTCGGGAGGTAGATTTTTTCTTGCAACGGCGGCGAGAAAGAAAGTCAAGAACCATTGCCATTAGAAGAAGCATAAAGAGAAAACTTGACCGAGAAATTCGCATTTTTCAGAAAAAATGGGAAGAAGAGTACCTCTTCACCGAATTCAAAGGAAAGCCAATGTGTCTAGTTTGCTTGGAGACATTATCAGCCCTGAAAGATTACAACTTAAGTCGATATTACAACATCTTGCATAAGGTTAAATATGACAAGTACACTGAAGCTGCCAGAGCCGCTGTAGTAGCAGACCTCAAATGCAGTGAAAATGGCCTAAGTATTTAGTGACAACAACATAGTAAAACATTTTGAAGCTGTGTCCTTATCACATCATAAAGTGACACGCAGGATTTTTGAGATCCACAATCACGTCGATATAAAAATGAAACAAGTCATGCAGAGCTGCAAATACTTCTTATTAGCTTTGGATGAGAGTACAGATATAACAGATGTTAGCAAACTGCTGTTTTTTGCTAGAACTCTTGACAATGCATTTGATGTAAGAAGAGTTACTGAAATTGGCTTCTCTTCACAACACCACTAAACGCAGCGATATATACAATGCCATTACCAGCGCTGTGAGTTATTACAGTAGCTTTGAAAAGCTGTCAGCGGTTGCTACGGATGACACACATGCGATGCCGGGAAGACACAGAGGTTTTGTGGGGCTACTCAGGCAGAGTGGAGTAAATGCCCTATACTGCACTGCATCATCCATCAGGTGAGTAGGGTCATATTTATTGTGAGATGTAGGCTACTGTAGAACTGTTATGCCATGATTACATCAAATAGAATGACATACAAACAGTATTTCTTCTAACCACAACTATTTTTTCCTAATCTTTTCAGGAAGCCCTCTGCGCAAAGTCATTGAACTTTGGCTACGTAATGGATTTGGTGACAAAAGTCACTAATATCATCCGAGGAGGGAACAGATCGCTATGTCACCGGAGGTTCATCATCTTTCTGGATGAACTGGATGCAAAGTATGGGGACTTACAACTGCATATCAGATGGATGAGTCAAAGAAAGTGCTTGGAAATACCAGTGTTCTTGGAGAACAGCATTAGTGGTGATACAAGTGTATACTGCGGGAAGCTCAAAGATACACAGTTTCTTTGTGACTTGGCCTTTCTGACAGACATCAGCGCGCATCTCAATCACCTAAGTACACTCTTAAAGGGGAGAGATCAAACAGTGTGTGATCTCTATTCTCACTTGACCGCATTTAAAAGCAAGCCAGACTACTTTTTCTACTCCTCCTGCAAAACTTGCACATTTTCCCGCATGCACTGAGATTCGTAAAGAGAGCCCCCTCTGCAAAAAACAAATCCAGAAATATGGAGCAGACGGCGAAAAATTACAGCAGCAATTCAACGATTGTTTCCAAGATTTCCGTGAGATGCAACCATGAACTGCGCTATTCACGGAACCCCTTTCTGCTGTGGTCAACGCGCAACCATCGGAGCAGCAGCCCGAACTCTGCAAGTTGCAGGCAGACCCGTTTTTTCAAGCAAAGCACAACGAGAGGGGAATTTCATTTTTTAAACTTCTCCGAGATTTTGCCCTCTCAATGGCCAGTTTGTTTGTGAGCACTTACATTTGCGAGAGCAGTTTTTCCACCATGAAGCACACAAAATCCAAAGAGAGAAACAGAATCACCAATGGAACACTGTTACATTTGATGTGCATTGGGACCACAAAAATTGACATTGACATCCAATCCATTGTGAGCCAGAAGGCCAAACCACAGCTCTCTCATTAGCTTCAATTAATGTTGAGCCTCTGAGGTCTAGTTTGCTGCTATCATTGAATGTAAGGTATTGCAATAATTTTTTTAAAAACTTTTTTGTTCTTTGTTATGAATGTGTTCAAATTCCTTTTGACATATTAAAATGCATTTATATGTAGAAAATAATTGTACTGTATGGCATATAAATTTTGTTCTTATTGAGAATCATTCGTTGTATCTTTCATATCCAATTATTTGAAGTGCATGGTCATGTGGACCTCGAATAGCTCTGATAAAAAAAATTTGGCCCTCTTTATCATAGAAGTTGCCCATCCCTGGTCTATGACATCGTCACTAGTCTTGCGTTCCATTGGGAAAAATGCTATGCATCAAACTGATTGCCAGGGGGAGTTCTAGTAAGATCAGAATCTGATTGAGCTAAACACACATAACACTGAGGGTGGCTATTTTGAAATAAGTATTGCGTAATGTGATTATTCAAAGCCGTTTCATGCTTTTGTTGTCCACACTATGTGCTCCAACAACTAAACGTCTTGAACAGAAACAGAAACAACAAGACAATTTTTGAACTCCAAACCGGAAGTCTTTAACCATTCATGAGTTTAAAGCCCATGTCAAGTCGGATGTGTCCAACTTTTTAATCTCTGATCTTATTTATTCCATTTTTACACCGAGTGCAGTGTCAAGTTTTTGTTTTTTTAAACAACCATTGGGGCTACAAAGCAAAGCCCCACTTCTTCACCAGCCAGCACAGCATCTATTAAACCAGAAGAGATAAAGGATTTTAATAGGTCTATGTTAAGTTTATAATGAGAACTAAGTTTAAAGAAAAAGAAAACCAGTGATGGGACTAACGGCGGAGTAAGCCTTCCACAAACATACTCATGAAATCACCCTCTTTGACTATGCTGTCTTTAGGACCCTCAAAGTAAATCCACCCTGCTTTACCAAACTATGGTGACAGCATCAGAAAATGCCAATTTAAATAGGGTGGTCAGCCGCAATGTGTACCAGTCATTAATAGTGCATTCAATCTTAGCAGATCACCTGCAACATGGCTTATAACTGTACATTCAATTTTGCATTTGGAATATTAGTAGATCAGAGAAGAAAAATTGTGTTTGTATCATCTTACCACCCTGCAGAATAGCCCACAGCCTGGGCAACACTGATGCTTGACCATGCCTGCTCTGTGGTCTTCACACAAAACCAATAGGCGAACGGTGTTCGAGGGTCGCATTAATTCTGGCTTCATCACCGGCCTTTGGCATTGAATCAGCTAGAAAGAAACAATCCAAGCAACAAAAGTTGTTACTATCAAACCTGCGAGACAACTTAAGTTTCCAACACCTCAGGGTCAAATGAAATAGCACCTAGTACCTTTAAGCAAGATATAAGCTCTACATAGAGCTATGGCATTCTAGAACTGTTTTTCTGGCAATTTACCTTGCAGATTATAAGAAACAAAAAGGCTGTTATATTGACTATTTCCAGCACTCAGAAAATGTACACGAAAATGTTGGTCACGTCACTTAACCAACACACAAAGCAACGCAAAGAGTTTCCCTTGCCAGTGTCATGGAGGAGTTTCCACAGAAGTTTCCACCCATTCTTCATAAACCTTTCCTTATTTCTAAGGGTCTTAGCCTCAGAGCATTATTTTTTATTCAGAATCCCACTCAATCTGTAAAATAATGGATTTAGGTTAATGGATATCTAGCACCAGGCTCTGAGACCCCGTCCACACGAAGACGAACCCTGGCCTAAACGCACAAATTTTTCACCAAACCAGCCTCTCATCCACACGAAGCCGGCGTTTCGGGGGTCTGTAAACGATCTTTTTTTTATTCAGCCTTCAGAGTGGGAAGATTTCGAAACGCCGTTTTCGCGTTTCCATCTTTACGCCCTAACCGCATATTTTTTTTTTACACACATGCGTCATAGCGTCGCCTCTACACCCGCATGCGCGACCAGTATCACAACAACAATGGCGCCGTTGCTAAAGCTACTCACCCTGCTGTCGGGCTTACAACAGAATCTTCTTCTTCTGGAATATCTCCAGGAAGAACAGAGCAATATCGACGACATAGTTCAGCACCTGAATTTCACTTAACCACGAAAATGGACCCGCAGGGCAACCATGTATAAATATTAGTGCACATGCCCAACATTTCGTCGCTTATTTTTGCTTTGGCACCACAGCGCCACTTACAGGCCTGGCATACATTTTGCAGCGTTTTCATGCATTCGTGTGGACGCTCACATTTATTTTACGTCTCCGTCTTTACGGCAAACGTTTTGGAAAATATCAGCGTTTTGTGTTCGTTTTGACTTCGTGTGGACGGGGCCTGAGCCTGAGCCAGGCCATTAACGACCTCAACGACTCTCATTATTAAGGGTTGGAGCTGTTTTTCTGGCTTCAATTTGCATGTTTTCTAAGCCATAATAAGGCTTTTGTCAGGCTAAAAGCCTCAATATACAATACTCAACCATAATACAGACATTTTGAATTGAGCAAGCATCCTGAATGGGAAGCAAAACATCTTTAAATTTAGAAAACAAAGTCCAGTGCTTTGTTTTTTTTTAACTTTAACTTCTTTGGAATTAAGTTTCAATTAGGTTTCAACTATCAAACAATTCGGCTGGTTGTCTGAAAGAGAGGCCTGAAACAAAACTCTTGTTGTGTCACACTATTACAAATTATGAGAATCATGCATTCTATTCACCAGTGATGGGAGTAACAGCGTTGAAAGTTACGTTACTAACGCCGTTAAATTTTTTTATTAACTAGTAATCTAACTAATTGCTTTGACTGTAACTATAATGCAGTTACCAATGCCGACATCCCGTTACTGCACATTACTCAAGTCGCACAATTAACCTTTTTTTCATGATAGGACTTTTGCGTGCCTTGTCATGAGAGAGGGGAGGATGAGATTGGCTGATGTATAGCGAGATTACGTATGTCAGTTGGGAAGGTGTGTGTTTCCGCTAGCGGGTGTTAACGTACAGCACACACAGAGAGATGGAGAGTGAGGAGGACTCCAGCAGAAAAACACTGTTTTCCTGATGGAAATACCGGTGTTATGTGGAGCTGTTTTTCCCCATCAGATATGGTTTCCCCTGCATCTCCGCACAGTGCAGGCGGCACAATTCACTGAGCAAGCGACAGGAAACGTGCATGCTTGCTAAAGGCGAGTAACAGCCGCCCTGTGCTCGTGCTACAGGGGAACTACGGAGAGCATTAACGATCAAATGTTAGCTTATATGGAGAAAGGGAGAAATCGGGACGGACGGACGGACAGATACATCTATCTATCTATCTATCTATCTATCTATCTATCTATCTATCTATCTATCTATCTATCTATCTATCTATCTATCTAAACTTCACACCTATGAGTAGAGGTATGCAGCCTGATGATATTAACACTGCATCAGATACCATTCCCCCCATGTTAAGAAACGGGGCCCGTCAGATAGCGTTTCCCCTTATGTCATTTACGTTGAGTTGCAATAAATGAAAAACTCTCTGCAGGTACTCGTCTTTGTTGTCCACTCTATTCAGCTGGATTTTGAAACACACGGTGAGAAGGTGGGGGAGAAGGTGGTGAGGGTTACGGGGGCGAGAAACGCAAAAGTAAGGCAATTGTTACTTTTACTAGTAACTAGTTACTTTTATTGTGGAGTAACTCAGTAACTAGTAACTGTAACTAATTACTTTTTCAAAGTATTGTGCCCAACACTGCTACTCACATAAAATCAAGATTGAGACTAGCAGTTAAAAATACTTAAAAGTAGGTTTGAATTGAGGCACGAATTTGTGGAAATATACATCATGACCAAGCTCAATAATGGTAAATACCACTGACGATATGGGGGTAGTTTTTTTCTCACCAGTCTACATAGAGCCTTTACTAAATAATATTGTTGGGGTATTTTGATTACCTTTTCATCCAAGCTATCCATGGCCATGCAGGTCTGATTCTTTATAGAAGAGCAGCCATCACTGTTTGGAGTCTCCATGCGACAGCAACACAGTGGTAATTCTTCTGCATATTCCTTCTCCTCAGCCTCTCCTGCAACATTGGTGCAACATTATCTAGTCAGTAAAGCTCTAAGCATGTAATGAATTCAACACATCTCTCTTTTCATACCTGAAAGAGATACTGAGAAAAGCTCTTCCTGAGCTTTCAAGTCAAGACAGTCCAAAGCCAACTCTGTGTAATCAACATGAGTGTCTTCTAAAGATATTTCCCTCTTTACTGATGCTGTCTGTACTTCATCTTTTCCAGTGTCCTGCTTAGGTACTCTCTTTTCAGCTGTCACAGAGTCATTCTTTCCCATGTCTTCCTTTGGCTTTTCTATCTGGAGAAAAAGAGACACCAGGCTTTTAGCTAAATGAAATTTCTCCAAACAGCCAGACAATTAAGCTGAGACCAGAAGAAAAAAAACTGCAAAAACAGAAAACAGTAATATATGGGGAGTTGGGGGTGTTTTGATGCCATAGAACTACCCAGTTTGTCCGGTCAAACAACATTTGCACATTGACCCACCAAACAGCTTGGCCCAAAATTGCTGTTTGCCGAGATGCAGCTATGAAGCGGCTTAACTGGGGTCCCCTGTTGTTGACGGCAGAGAAATTTATAACAATATTCAGATAAGAACTGGAGGCTGATGTGAAGGTTAGATCGTAGATTAATGCTGCCCCAAATCATCATTCAAATGCAATTATTATTAGCTTCCCATAATATTGAAGCGAGAGGTTAACTTTGTGTTAATAGTGGGGCTCTTCATTCAGTATGAAGAGTTTTATAGGTTCATGGTTTTAAATAGGCTAGTAAACTAGCCCCACCTGCCAGAGGCCAAATCCTTTTTGCCTGCAAGTTTGATCTAGCCTCGATCAATGCCCCACGCCTTAGAACTGGCGGGCCAATCACAACGCAGAGATGCGTTTTGAACTTCTGGATACATAGCGGGCAGGGATTTAAGGGGAATGATGACATGCTTGACGCTGGAGAAAGCACAACAAGTAAGATGGCAACAACGATTGAACAGTAGCATGCACTGCGGTAGTTGCAGCTTTTAATGGAGCGCTTCATTGAAAGTTAGTTTCCTTTTCAGTTGCTGTTGTTCAATAAATGTACATTTTAAGATCATTTCAGGCAAGAATATACTTTAAAGCGTCACTATATGGTCCATTTAACGATTTAATGTGCAATTAAAAAAACAATTTCCGAAGTTGAGAGGACCGCGGCAACCAGTAGACCTTCAAGGCTAACCACAGCCCATCTGCAGCAGCTCTCTCTTGGCATAGCCATGTGTGAAGGACCACTGGCTCTGATGGTGATTTCTTTGTTGTATTTGGCAAAATGTTCATTTGATTTGTGTTTATCTGACTTTGTCCATCATTATTCCCCCACCAAATGAAAAAAAGTAATAATTTATTATTATCTAGAGACTATTAAAAGGAGGTGAAATGCAGCCCTAGACCAGCCGGTCATGTGGTGACGTCACGAGTTTGCTTCTGTTTCAACTGACCCATATTTATACTGCACGCTCCAGTTCTCACCAAGTCCATACTTTCCTGTGTTCTTATCAAGAACATACTTGGCAAGGACACGAGTCCGTACTCACGTTCTAGGGAATTGAGAAACGTATGGAGAGATATTTGTGCCATCGGTTTGAGCGCGCAGGAACCAATCCGAGCGCGCAGTGAGACAACACGCGCGCGCGCAAAACTTGAACCTGAAATATCCTTATTTTTCTTTTAAAACAGCAAATTTAAATCCATGTCAATAGCAGGTAAAAGAGATGGATGAGGCAATGATCTAATAGCTGTTTTACTGAAGTTTATTTGAGATAATTCAAGATATTTTATAGTACCATCTTCTGTCCATCAAATGGTTAGGAGTGTTGACCAAATTACTGTAAGAGTTGTTTGATTTTCCTGACTGTGTTTTTTATTTTTTTCATTTAACCGGATGTAGTATGTGGAACGAATGCTTATGTATTGATGAACTGCAAAACATATGAACCTGAAAGGGAGAAATTGAGAAGAGTAGTTGAAAGGACAGGCCAAGAATAGAGTCTTAAAAGATTATTGGGAAATAAAGGAAATATAAAAGATATTTATAGATTAAGGAAAGCATTATTTAGTTATCTACAGAATACAAAATTAAAAAATAGAATTTAATAGATGTAAAACAATGTTGCTACAAACTCATGAACAGTAGGTGGCGGTATGCACCTTAAAGTTGCTTGCGATCCGCCATGATAGAAAAGAAGAAGAAGAAGGAACGAATGCTTTCATTGGATGAAAAGAAGGTGAGCGTGATTGGCTGATAGTATGGTTAATTAACATACATTGCTGAAGTTGCGAGCGCAGAGAGGCTGTCGAAGCTAGCGGAGAAACAGCCGAGCGCACAGCTGATGTTGAGCGCAGAGAGAGCAGGTCGAGCGCGAGCAGAGACGGATTCGAGCACGCGCAGAGATGAAACTGAGCGCGAGAACAGTGTGTTGAGAGGGTTTTTCAGAGTTGAGCGCGCGCCAGACCGGTTTTGCGTGCCCGCGTGTTGTCTCACTAAGCGCTCGGATTAGTTCCTGCGCGCTCAAACCGATGGCACAAATATCTCTCCATAGAAAAGACCAAGATGTTTTGAGTCAGCTTTGGAATCAGTTTTGGAAGGATTATACTTGCGGTTTTCATTGAAACGTGTGCAGGAAGAGGCTCTACACTCATTTATTTTTAAGAAACGTACTTGCCATTTTAACGACATTCGTTTCACATACTATTTGTTTACACTCCCCCACCAGCTTTCTGCCACTCTTACCACGTCACAGTCAGTTGTGCCCATTGGTCAGAGCTATCAATAGGCACAGACATGGTTTGAAAAACAACAGGTTGTTCTCATCAACAATCTTCCGACGTCTCATTTTGGCCAGAATAAATTACACATTGAATCTCACATTTAGTCTGGGTTATCAGGCTAGGTTTTAACAGAAGGTTAAGAGAAATGTATATATATATATTTTTTAGGGTGTTTTTATAGTGATGGGATTTCACATTGTTTTTAGGCTGGAAAGACACAGATCTGAAAACTCTGGCAGTGAAAGACAGATGGAGTTGCTAGATACACCTTTAAGAACATAGTAGATAATTTTTTGCAACAGTGGAGGAGTATTTATTTGGAAATCATTATATATTTTTTTTTAATTAGATACCAATTTATATTTGAAAATGAATAATTGATCATAACATCAAGAGGCATCACCAGAGGCGTAGCAAGACATGTTTCCCTGACAGGTGTCTTCTAACGGGACTGGTATGGTTATACCAGCTTTAACCCTCTGGCTCGGAGTCTTACTCTGTAGGCTATAGGTCTACTCTGGATAGTTCTGACCTGTAAGCTGTGATGCCTCCACATTCCTCAGCATCACTACGCTCTCCTGAGCTTAAATTGGCTGATGGTTCATATAAAAAAACCCTTTCAACACTTGATTTTCTGGAACAATCATCATTGTTTCCATCATCTTCATTATAGAATGTTGTTCAGTGTTATCCCTCTGACATCAGCACTCACCCATAGGTTTTTCTCACAATTAATTGGTGTGGTGCTGTGGATCTACTAAATGTTGTATATTTGTGTTAAAAATAAACCTGTCGCCGGTATATTATAGTAGCAGGAACACTCTATCAGACACCCGTCTTAATGGTAAATATTTATGCTCCCAACTGGGATGATGTAGGATTTGCACAGAGTTGTGTCTCAGCTGGCAGACCTTGACAATAACCTGCTGATTTTGGGGGGAGATTTTAATTGCGTAATGGATCCTAACTTAGACCGGTCTAATCCTAAAACACAGACCATTTCTAAAATGGCTGGCAGGTTCTTAGAATTTTTCAACCATGTTGCATGTGTGGATCCATGGCGGCCTTTCAATGCACATACAAAGACATTCTCTTTTTTCTCAAATGTGCATCACACTTATTCTAGGATTGATTATTTTTTCATTGCGGAAGACTCTTGAATTCAGTACAGGCAGTTGAATATTCAACCATTGTAGAATCAGACCATGCTCTCATAATAATTAATCTCACTTTTTGCCAAAACTTCAGTTGTCGGTCTCAGTGGCGTTTTAGCACCACACTACTGTCAGATAACACATTCTGCACCTCAATTGAGGTAGCCATCAACAGATTCCTTGAAACTAATAAGACTGATGATGTGTCCCCATCACTTTTATGGGAAACCCTTAAGGCTTATCTTAGAGGAGAGATAATTGCATATTCTTCTTATATTAATAAGGAAAGAAAGAAACAAAAACAAAAGTTGATTGAAGCTATATTTGAATTAGATAAGAAGAACTCTACCTCCCCAAACGCATCAATTCATAAGGAAAGAATATCATTGCAAACACAGTATAACTTAATATCTCCATCTGAAAGAGAACGACTTATGAGATCCCGAGGGTTATATTATGAGCAGGGAAAAAAATCAGGACGTCTTTTGGCACATCAACTTAAGTCTAAGTCAGCGGCACAGATTATATCTGAAATTGCAGATGAAACAGGAGGGACCACCACCGACCCCTTAAGAATCAACAACATTTTTAAAGATTTTTATTCTGATTTGTATACTTCAGAATCTTTAAAGGACACAACATTGTTCCATAATATTTTCTTAAATCTGGAAGTCCCTACATTGTCTTCTAAACAGAGAGAATGTCTGGATGAACCAATTGAACTGAGGAAAATCAGTTTGGCCATCTCTGCGATGCAAAATGGAAAGTCTCCAGGGCCGGACGGCTTTCCGATCGATTTTTATAAAATATTCTAAAAAACAACTAGCCCCGCTGTTATTGGATATGTTTGATGATGCTATGTCAAATAGTAAATTGCAAGATTCTCTTAATGAAGCAACTACACTCACCAGCCACTTTATTAGGTACCACATGCTAGTAACGGGTTGGACCCCCTTTTGCCTTCAGAACTGCCTCAATTCTTCGTGGCATAGATTCAACAAGGTGCTGGAAGCATTCCTCAGGGAGTTTGGTCCATATTGACATGATGGCATCACACAGTTGCCGCAGATTTGTCGGCTGCACATCCATGATGCGAATCTCCCGTTCCACCACATCCCAAAGATGCTCTATTGGATTGAGATCTGGTGACTGTGGAGGCTAGTGAACTCATTGTCATGTTCAAGAAACCAGTCTGAGATGATTCCAGCTTTATGACACGGCGCATTATCCTGCTGAAAGTAGCCATCAGAAGTTGGGTACATTGTGGTCCTAAAGGGATGGATATGGTCAGCAACAATACTCAGGTAGGCTGTGGCGTTGCAACGATGCTCAATTGGTACCAA